CCGAGGAAAAGAATTAGCATGCATCGTGATGTCTTTCTTGCACAGATCATCGCCTGTTCAGCTTTGCGATTAAAGGCTTGGAATTTCACTTTTCCTTCCGACACATGAACGAACCCAATTCCAGCCCGGTAATTTTGTAGAGCCATTCCTTGCAATTCTGTGACTGTCACTTCGTACAGCGCGTTTAACTTCTGTTGCCCGTCGAGAACAGGCTGTGTCAAGACAATCCGAAGCGATTTTCTGTTGACAATCTCGTGCTGGCAGAAGATTCCAATGAAAATTACACAATCAGAGAAACAGTAAAATGGTACACCTTTGTAATAACCTCCTTTGTGAGCCAAGGCACCAAGCCAAGGCGCCCAAAACATCGCCCACCACAGAAAGCATACGCAGTCGATGTAAGTCGGTAGCTGTCGTCGAAAGTACGGTCGGCTCTGCGTAATGAAGTGATTTGAGTAAGCGTATATTGTATTTTGAACTCTGAAAGCCCGACAAACATCTTCTACTGCTATTCGAGTGTGTTGAATTCCCCTTGTTTCTGTAATTAAGCGATCGTTTTCCGACATCTCGAGCAATCTGATCGTGAAAAATACGATCTGTCAGTGTCACCCACAATGTGATGATTATTTTGTATGATCAGAAACTGAAATACTAGTTCAAATGCATTTTACCGTAAATATCGGTCACCCCTACCTGAGAAGCAATTGCTTTTACAATTTTTCCGGAATGCTCTCACCAAAAATGGTTGCATTTGGTCGCTTTCGTGTATTGCCTCTACGAAAAATAGTTCAGTGATAACCGTCTCCAACGGAACCAGACCCCAACTTCAGCATAAGATATATGCAGACAGCGTTTGGTTCCAGATAAAAATGGATGTAATTTGCCATCGATCAGGATTCTCGATCTCGAATGACCGCTTACTACAGGTTGACGCTAAATACAGGTTCCACAGAATAGGGGTATTGTAAATAACGGTAGAAAAACGCTAATTTATGCCATAATGGACCACTCAACGTACAAAAACAAGCTCAAAAATACTGCTAGCATTGATTTCGGGCGATAAACATGGATTAAATATACTTCGGAAAGCTTGTTCTCAGTTTTTTCCGAGTGGTTCTGCCAGAACTGACCGTTCAATAGAGGTCTAAGACAATACAAACAGACCGTTGGGACCGTTGAGTAAAGGATAAGCACGACCGCTCAGTAGAGGTGACTGAGGAACATTACGTTGTTTAAGGGGAGATAATTTCGCCAAAAGCCCGCATAATATACAGAGTGACTGCTTAATACGGTGCCGCTCAATACAGGTTCGACTGTACATAATTTTTCCGTGTATTTATTTGCTACGCTACAATGAAAATTAACAAGGAAGTATAATAAGCTAAATTAAACACGAAAATCTGTAAG